CAACTCAACTCGGTTATTGGCAGTGAGTTTTTGATTTGCTATTTGAGCATATTTTACTTTAAAAGTTTAATTTAATTTAATATTACCATAATTTCGAAATGTTTCTCTTAAGCCTTTAACAAATATACATAAATATATTTCCCATCCCTTACTTAGATACAGTACATATTTTTTCGATTAATGCAATGATTTAAATAACTTTTTGAGCGAACGCTGCCAGATTTTAATGCAAAGGCCTGAAGTTTCCAACTGTGCCCTACAAAAGCAACAAATCCCTATTGTCACCCGCAAATCACCATAAAGACTTATCAAATAAAGCGATAGCATAATGTAGGTGTGTGGGTAAAAAGTTGAATAGAAAATTGGCCACCAACTCAAAATGAATTGAAGAGTTTTTCCGCTGCTCTTTTTTCTCACATTCATATTTTCATGTATACGTCTACTTGGCAGTCGCAAACCATAATCGAAGACACTATGAACTGTTGCCAACAAATTTTTTTTTCCTTTTTTGTGCAGTTCCATCATCATTATGTTGAGTTTATGTCAGCTTAAGTTGTCAGAAATTCTAATTTTAGCCAACAAAAACTCACCAATACGACTATGAAGTGTTGTTGGCGCAATATACGAGTGTACATACATATATACCCTGTAGGTCAGTGCATAAATAAATGATTTGAAGGCGTAAAATACATATATATTTTAGTAAAATAAATTTAAACAAATTTCTTTTAATGTCCAAATATTTATGTTTTAAAAATTTCTTAGTTTAGCGTGAGTAAATCTCTCTCGAAATTATATTTTAACTGGTTTTCTTGCAAGGTTCTCAATATCCTTTTACGCACAAACTTATTTACCTATATTCAATATTAAACTCCTTCGAGATGTCAATAAATGAGCCCATTGAAAATTTATGATTTCAAGTATAGAAAAATATTTGAGAATAATGTAAAGAGTAAAAAAAATCACATATAAAATTGTCCAAAAGCAAAATTTAGCAGAAATTGCTGGCGATCAACAGACGTTGATAGTGGTCACGACAAGTAGGTGGAGTGGAAAAGGCTGAAAAGTTGATTAGGTTTGTGTTTGTGTTGGACAGAGCAGGAGGAGCAGAAGGAAATCACTATTGACTGTAACGAGCTCAGCTGAATAGTTGAATTTTTCAATGGCCAATGTGTTAAGCAGAGTCTCAGTTGTGCAGTTGTGCTGACCACTTTACTTAAAAAACCTATTGACCAACTGACTGACTTGCGGACTTACAGACTTACTGACTACTTGACTGCCTCCATGCCTAAGCACAGTTGCCCAATAGTTCACTTGTGGACTTCTTTGGCCAAGTTGACAAATCGTTGATGACGAAAATTTAGTTATGCCACAAATTTTTGAATATTGTTTGCGGAGTGGCTGGCAAGATGGGAGATTGGCTGGTCATTGCTGAAGGCAATTTGTGTCAATGGTTTGAAACAAGCAAATGGCAAATGTGAGTTTATGCAAGTGCATACATATATTGTATAAACCCAGCAGAAAATCGAAAGGCTTTGCAAGCGAAGAGGAGGAGTGAAAACTTTGCTTTGGATGACTGAATTCAGCGCCGAGAACAGCAATATCATCGCAGTTTTTAAGTGTCTTCACTTTCTTTTCAATTACAATTGCGAACAAGTGAACTGTTGATGTGTGTATCTACATTTCTTTCGCATGCTAGAACCTTGTATATCACTATTTCAGCCTTTTTCTTACCGGCTTAGTATAAAAACCCAATAACTAATGAGTTTTATAGAAAATGATGGTAAAAAACTTGTAAAGATACCGCAAGCTAAGCACAGTTCTCACTTGCTCAAAAGGCAAAATATGAAGCCCGGTTCTGCAGCCACAAGGGTTTCCATATTTTTTTTTTTTTAGAGAGAGAGAGTTTGTGTATACTTTTGCTTTTTGAGAATCCATCAGCATTTTTCTGTACGCTCTAAAAAGATAAGGTTTTAGCAATTTTGATGGAGGGTAGGAGCATAAGTTTATATGTATTCTGTAAATTAGCCATTCAACCGAGCCACACCCAGCAATCATACGCAGCCATTTCACTGCCACAAGCGCCCATTTTTTGACATTCATATACACTTATATGTGTACAAGCACATACAAAAACATACATACGAGTATATATTTCAATTTCACATAACTGACTATACGCAAAATAAATATACTATTATAATATTCATAGAAAAATGTTATGAGGCGGTAACCCAAAACCGAAACCATACTCAGTTGGCCGGTCGAGTACCAAAGTCAACATAAATTCCAATGAGAAGAAGAACGACAAAAGTTAAACAAACTGCAACCGCACCATCATCGGTAACTAACATACAGTAGAACAATAACCCCGCTGTGGGACCAATATTTGTGGCGATATTTGTATGTATGCGTGTATACTATTGGTTTCCGCTGCGGAAACCACTAAAAACCAATTTACGAAATAACATAATTTTGCGAAAAATAAATTTTGTCTGCTGTGACGGCAAACTGAACTATTTACTAGTTGGCTTATGAGTAGACATGTATCTGTGTATATGTTTGTGTCACAGTGCTGAGGCTGCGTTCCACATTCAGAGTGGTTGGTAGCTGATGCGTTGCGGAGAGGCCGTAACATTAAAATGTAGGAAAGGCTCATGTCATCGCAAACTATGCAAAGTAGCTAAATAACAATAAAACTTTCGAAATACATGTATATATGTAAATATTCAGACAATATTAGATGTATTTCTAAAGCACACTACACTCAGTATACAGCAATACGTGGTTGTACCATGAGAAAAATGCAATAAATCGTTTGAACGAATGAATCTTTCAAAACAAAATTTTCCAATTTACGATTAAAACTAAACGAGATATAAACTTCTCATGAATGTTTTGACCTTGCGAACATTTCAAATCCACTTTGTTATTTGAAATAGAAGGAAGAGAATGTCGATCTGACCGATGTGTCGACGTGTGTGGTGACCACTTTGCCACGAAATCAAATTTGTTTTTGGCGATATAAATCTGATGATGAGAAAAGAATGTACTATTGATGCAACGGTCGCGAAATTCAGCATCCATTACGAAATATCCTAAAACGAGCTAAGACTGTTCGCTTCGCCAGCCCCGAAATATCTGTTCTACAAGGATCGTACACCGACTCGGGTATTTTTCTTGTAGCAGCCACGATACACACCCTCCTCTGTTCAGCAAAGAATGCCCATAAACAAACATAAGAAAGTTTGAAGTCGAAAAGCCGCCATCACAACAGACTGCCAATCTGTTTTCTACTCCACTTACTCGCCAACCCTCTGATAGCACTATTAGGGAACTGTGGGTAGGTATTTCAAGCTTCATACGTACTGTTCCAAGTGAAGCTATTGATTTTCGGAGAGACTGTTGATAGAGTACAACCAGGCTGCTTACCACCCAACGTGGCGCTCGACTACTCACGTGCATGGTGGGACCAATATCAATAAACGGAGAGGAAAGCAACACGTAAAAGCAGACAAAAAAGAAAGAGTAGCGAGAGCATGAAAGGTTGCCGTTTGGAAATTCTACAAAAACATACCACGACCGGTATCAAGACCGCAGCAAACTCTAAGAGTACTCAGAGAGGGGATATAGTGATCTGATATCCTGAATATACTTATAGCTTGTCATGGGGTTTTTTCAATTTAATATCATGAGTCTTAAAAAAATTTCCAATTGTTTTGCTTTCAGCACGCCTGAAATTTGCTTTTGCTCCAACTTCACTACCGATAGTCATTGTTTAGCAGTTGTAGATAATTTCGACAATAGTAGTGACACCCTCAGAATAGTGTTGGCCTTGAAATCCAACGTAGGATGGCCCTTGCCAATAGGTACTACTTTGCACTGTACGCGCCATTGGCAAGTAGGCAAGAAACAGTGAAGAGAAATAGCGAAAGGCTCGCTATTGTTAAATCCACTATAATGGCGTAATATTGTCCATTTAATTTTTGCTTCAACGGATACCCATATTTATTAACATCGATGTACTCGAAAAACATATCTGTCTTGTTTGAGAAGTTTTCCATACGCATAACTAACCAAATGTTAGAGATTTGATCACTTTGACGATCGTCTATACGACTTGTGAAGCCGAACAGTATTGTTACGTACCAGCGTCATAGCGCAACAAGACATTTTACCAGCAACACATTGGCTATGGCCTTCTCTTTTAGATTCTCTACTATGACTGCCGATAATATAATATATATCGCGCTCTCATAAGGTAGGCCGCATCAGTTGAATCGGTTAGCATACGGCTGTTTATGGCGTATACAAGCCATTGTTACGATCAAAAATCATTTGCGAATATAAGACAAGATAAACAAGTGAGAAAAAATTAATATTTGGAAGGAAATTAATAAAAAACTGCGTAAAAAATTCATATTATTACAAGTATTGTAGTATGGACTTTATTAATCTCCATAATATCCTTCAAAAAACATATTCCTGATTCTTAAAACTGACTTAAGCTTCTTCTCTTTTTGAGTAGTGATAATGCTCACCAAAACCATTGGGACTACGAGCTACTGGAAAACAAAATATTATCTTAAATGAAGACCGGAATATCTCTTACTGAGAACTTCGTACTCGAGTACGAAGCAGCTATGAGAACAAAAGAAAAGATTTGTGCCAGCCTGGCCCGGAAAACATCATAAGTTCTGGGCTCATATTAAGTACTTAATTTGCATACCGAATTGCATATTGAAAGTGGTACAAAAATGGAAAAAATTAAAACTTATTTGTTGTTTCACTTTCCTGTTTGTTAAATTAAGAAAAAGGTGGCAACATTGCAGGACATCACTTATACGCAGCGGCAGACAATGTAGAGCATTGGAATGTTGAAAAAATTAGTAGGAGGAGACACGGACAAATGCAGAATAAGCTAAATTAATTAATTGCACTTGTTAAAATAATTATTTTAAAAGACTTGCTAGGCTTAATGAGATTGCTGCATTTATTACTTTTGTTGCAGCTCTGTGCGTACAGTGCCCGTAGACGATGATGAGGAAGTCGAGGTCGTGCCTGTTGCAATAGACGCATTCGATGATATTGTAGAATCCGATGAGCCCGAACACGCTGACGACGCTCTGGAATTTGTTGAGCTCGACGATATTGAGCTTAGATTGGACTCACGCAAACCAACTGTGGCGCCGTCACTTCCAAGTGATGCTGGCTTTTGCTCCGCTGTTGCTGGACCACTAGCCATCAAAGCTGCTTTTAAGGGCTTTGTTTGTGCCAATTGTGCGGCAATGGCATCGGCTATTGTTCTTATTGGTGCGTTTGTTGTCGAAGACAATGTTGTCGGCATAGTCGACGTGTAATTGACAGGTACGCGCGTTACTGTACTTTCTGTTGTTGTTGCTGCTAGACCATTGCTGCCATTACTGCGTTGCTTCTTCAATGTTGACGTCAGTCCGCTTTGCTCTCGTTCGCTGTGTTGTCTTTGTTCTAAGCTGGTCATGCATTCCTCGCCTCGCCCTGCAATGTGAAGCTTGTGTGGGTATGTGATTGCATCAGCCGCAGCTCCTTTACCGACTGTTGCACTTACGTTGCTGTTGCTGACTCTTGTTGATTTCTGGGCCATCGTTGCTGTCACTGATTCCATTGTTTGCATGCTCTTGGCTGTCACTTGTTTGTCGTCGCCATTATTTGTCAATTTTGATGTGCCTAAGTTGATTGTTGGTGTTGGCGTAGCTTTTGTTGTCGTTGTTGACATTAGTAAGTTTGCTTTGGCTGTCTCATCAATAGCCATTGGCTGCATTGCGTTATTAGGTAAGCGTGACAAAGCGGCGCTTGAGCCTGCAGAAGCTCCTTTTGCTGTTGTATTATTGTTTGCTGTTGTTTTTACTTGTGATGACGTCATTTGCTCAGAAGCGTGCATTGCAAGCTTGGACGCAGACAAATTGGATTTCGCTTTAATTGTCGATTTGTTAGGTATCGCATAAATGTCAGTGATGTCAGGTCGACTATGCTGGCCTATTCTATTGCTGGTGCTACTACTGTCGGCGCTGTTGCTGCAGCTGCCATCTGTATGGGTATTATTGTGTACACTGGCACTCTGATGGCCTGCCAAATTCATTAACGTCGGTGTACTAATTGGTGTTGGTGTTGATGTATTTGCCATTCCTGGCATTGCCCGGCTTCCTGTTTGTTGCGTGTTTGGCAAATTAGTTGGCTGTTGAATCGCATAAACGCGTTCGGTGTGATGTGTTGGTTGCTGTTGTTTGTTTTGTTGTTGTAATTTGTCTTCCACTTGAACGGAAATTGGACGGCTTTCGAAGCTTTGCAAGCCGGCAGCACAACCGTCGTTACTTAAGAATGTTGTAATACCCGTAACACCACCACCTGGTGTCGTGTTGTTGGCCATTGAGCCGTTTGGAGTATTCGTTGTTGGCATTAATGATGTTTCCGAATGGCTATGCTTAACATTTTTTGATTTTATTGTTGTACTTGTTGCCTCTTGCGCTCCATTGCATGCTGCGGCTGACTCGGTACGCTTCAGCGTCGAGTAATTAGCATCAGGATTGCCCGTCTGCGTCTTCTGTTTCTGCTGCGGCACTATGGGGCCCACAATAAGCGTATTTTGTGTGATTTGCGGCTCGTCTTCCTCTTCGGCCGTGCAGTCCTGCGCCAGCCTTAATGGCGATGTGGTGATATTACTGCTATTTCGACGCTGCGATGGCTTACGTCCAAGTGTGGAGATGGTGCGTGGTGGTGGTAGTGGGGGATAACGTGTACCAAGTGTTCCCATAATGCTGCTGCTGAAGTGTGGTAAGAGGCTATTAGGTGGTAGCGAGTTACGTTTGTTGGTGGTGCGCAGATCCAGCGTCATGGGTGGTGAATCGTCAGCACTTGCATGAAACTCCATGTCAACTGTTGTTGTTGTTACAGTTTTTGTAGTAGGCAAAACTTTTGGATAATTACGGCTTTTGATAACTTGAAGTTGCTGGGCTGGTGTTAAACAAATGTTCCCCCCAGCGCCATTAGCAGCATCATCATCATCCCGACTGGTCACATTTATATCCTCACCTACGAAACTGGTCACCTTTTCATTCTCTTCAATCGTATCGTACACGCCGCATTGATAGTGCTGCATATCCACGGGGTCTGAATGTGAGTGCGTATGCTGTGGCGTTGGCATGTATGCAGGAAATTGGCCCTGCTGTGGCAGCTCGGCGTCGCATGGCTCGGTGGCAGCTGAGTGTTGGCGCGCAAGTGTATAACGTGAGCTGTCTAGGGAGTTTTGCGGCGTAAGCAATTCATGGTCGACCACCTCTACCTCCTGGCAAATGATTATATTGCGCCCATCTGCCTTCAGTTTGTGCACCTCAATAGGCTCTTGCTCTAACACGCTACCACTACGTGCGGATGCTGTGGCATCTACCGCAACGCTTATCTTCTGCAGAGCAATCGGTTGCTTGAAACTGCCACCGGCACTACTGCTACGCAGAGAGGAGAAAGTGGGTGAGGACGATCTTTTCGAATCTCCTTTAGAGCTGTTCGCACCACCTCCAACGCCGCAGGCTTTTGCATCGGCCACGGCCCCAGCTGCAGCCGACATCCATGCGCACACTTTTGTATGCGTGTCCACTGTGGAGGTACTCAGTTGGCGTGTCATTTGAAAGCCATTAATGGGCGAACGCTCAGTTTTAACCGCTTCGTAAGTGTTCGACTTACGCACAATGTCCAGAATGTAGCTTTCGTCGCCATCATTTTGCTTTGAGCGCTTGAATTCATCGTCGGTGGTGCCATCATAGCTCAGTATGCCGCCCAGCTTGCGTTGCATGGAATGTGCTTTCTTTTTCCTTTGGACGAGGAATGTAGAGTAAATGATGACGTTGAGTACAATGAACACAGCAATCAGTCCGATGAGTAGTTGTATTGTCGTCTCTGATTTGGCAACTTCCTCTTTGTTGCCAGCGCTGGCTGCATCATCCACGATAGTGGTACTTCCTGTTTCGTCACCTGTGCCGCCGCCACCACCATCACCACCAAAACCGACTTTTCCACTATGGCCAGCGCTATTGTCGTACTCTGCAATTTCCGCTCTTGGCACACCATAAATTGCATTGCCGCCAGCCAGTGCTGCACCGGTACCAACACCAATTTCACTGAAACCACCCAAGCCACCACCATTCATTCGTCCAAGGCCACCCGCTGTGGCCATTGTATAGATTTGTTCATCGTTCGTTTGTTTGGTTACGCCAAAAGTCGGTGGTGCATTGTACATATTCTCAGCGAAGGTCTCCTTCATACCTGCATCACTTGTGCTGGCATCACCCTCATTGTTACCACCTAATTTCCATGGCTCTTGCAATAGTAATTTCAGCGTTCGTACTGGATCCTCGGCACCATTGTCGCGTGTACCAAATTGACTCATGTGTCCCGTTATTACCTCACCTCCGCCACCACCAGTACCACCATAACCGTGACGCTGCGGCGGGTATGTATTTTGTGTTACGCCAGTGCCGCTGTTCGCTGCAAAGACACTGTCAGCGCCATTGTAGAGGGTTGTATGCAAATACGGTTGCCGTTGGATGCTTGCAATTTGGTTCAGTTCATCGGGTAACTCTTTATTCCAAAAATTCATATAGATTTGCCGGTACTTATAGCCAATCGATGGTGGTATGCCTGTGAATATAAAATAAAAAAATTACACTTGTATGAAGGCTTCTATAAATGTGTGAGTAAACAAGAGACAATATAAAGAAAAGCGATATTATTCTTTTGATTCTGTTGCCTTGAATTGGATGAGTAAACGACCATTGATGTTGAATGGCTCAAATGACTCGAATGATGAATGGAGACTCAGTGTCACTTTTGCAAAGCTCATGAGGTGCGCTCCATGAAAAGAATGTTGAAAATAATATCGCATCTTCGAACTCGATTAAAGACCACAGTTGGAAAAAATAAGAGTTAGGTAAAAAATTATAATAAAATAAAACATAAAATAAAATAAAAAAGAAGATTGAAATAAAATAAAATAAAATAATATCAATATATTAAAATAATGTTAATTAAATTAAAAAAAAATAAAATAAATTGAAATGAAATAAAATAATACAAAAAAAGTTTAAGAAAATAAAATAAAGTAAATAAAGTAAACTAATATAAAATAAAATAAAATTAAATAAAATAAAATAAAATAAAATAAAATAAATTAAAATAAAATAAAATAAAATAAAATAAAATAAAATAAAATAAAATAAAATAAAATAAAATAAAATAAAATAAAATAAAATAAAATAAAATAAAATAAAATTATATAAAGTAAAAAATATAAAAAAAATATAAAATAAAATAATATAAACAAAAATAAAATAAATTAAATTAAAAAAAATTTAATTACACAAAATGAAAAAAATATACTGAAATAAAAAAAAATATGTGAAGTAAAATAAAATAAAATATAAAATAATATAAATTAATTTAAATATTGCCTATCCATGTGCTTCACTAGCAGTTACCAAATATCTGACAAGACACAGCTAAGTCGCAAAAATTGTGCGCCAATGCATAGCCCTAAGATTTGTTTTAATTCACAAGCACATAAGGGAGCAGTTTAACAAAAATTGACTGAGATCGATTCATATTAACGGATCATCGCACTGCTAAAATACACCTGCCATAAAAGTAATCGAAAGCGACAAAAACAGGCGCTGGTAATAGACATATTGTATTATCCAAAGAAGTGCAGCTAATGTTACACATTAACCCACGAAAGCAAGGAAATGTAAATTGAAATAAAATAAAGAAATTAGTAAAATATAATAACATAAAATAAAAGAATAAAATAACACATAAAAAGAAAACATTTAATGAAAGAAGAAAATAAAATACGATAATATAAAATAAAATAAGCTAACTGAAGTAAAGTAAATTAAGTTAATTGGGCCAAATCATATTAAATTTAAAATAAACATAAAATAAAAATATTTCAATAAAAAAAAGTACAAAAAAAGAAATAAAATTAAATTAAATAAACTTCGTGTAAAACCCAAATAAAATTCATAAATGTAAATAGTTTATTTTATATTTGCAAGTTAAAAGGAAAAAACCTCTCACAATTCATTGATCCTTCTTAAGTAATACTCTCAAACCTTCAAACATACACTTATGGGGACAAATATTTCAGCTGAAAACATATTTGCCAAGACAACAGAAGGTGAAACTCAAATGAATTGCAAGGGTCAGATTAAAATGGTATTATTTATATAAAATCTTTTATTACTGCTCAAAATGCTCACAATGAATTAATTCCCTTTTTATGTATTAAATATTTCCTTATTTAAAATTCAAGCTGTTGCTTATTTAACATGGAATGCACCGTTTTCATCCTTCACCAACACATACGTAATACATACTGATAATATATGCGCATCTATAGTTGTAGGGGTGAAAGCTCGTGTTCAGCTATACCATGGAAAATGAAATTGAATTAAACGGCTACCAATTAGTGGAATACTTTTCCCTCTTCAATCGTTCAACAAACATACCTACATACTGCACATCCAGCAATATATATATATTTGCAGCTTTAATAGGCCGTTGATGGCTACAAGGATGGTGGAACTGTACTAATAGAGTACGCATATATGTATGTATAAGTGTCTGATAGAAATGTTTGTTAAAAGATTTCGGCCCATTTATACATACAAATGCTGCCTATCATTGTATTTCTATGTCGACACAATATTACTCTTAACGGCAGCAGTAGATCGTCAGCTTTCGTAAATCTTTATTAATTTAATGGCCTATTACGGCTTACATTACATAAATGGCAGATACGATTTACAGTCGAGTTGCGCTCTATTATGTAAGGCGAAAGGAAAATGTATAGACCTTTCATTGAGTGGATATTAATCTCATATTGCTTTTCCTAATTATAACAATATGTATGTACCTTTGGGTTTCTATACTTTATATTGGTAGAATGCACAAATGATTGCCAGAAGCTTAATTTTATAGTTCAGAGGTTTAACTAATGAATTTCCGTATTTTCTAATGAAATATTTTACGCAGCAGCTAGTGCGAAGAAGTAATAGGCTAGTTTTTAGAACTGATGGGTAAAATAACTCGAAATATATACGTACATGTATATAAGTATATCCAACACATAAAAATCTAATGTTTAAGTGTTTGTGACCAAACTCATCGCAACAGCTGGACTGATTTTTATAAAATTTTGTTTGCATATCGGAAAGTTATGGAAAGTTATGAGAATAGGAAAAGGCTATCTAGTTCTTTCAGAAAGATCTTACTAAGAGACTTCTGATATTGTGACTCCCTCGAAGTTGAATTGTGTTCGGCTTTACAAAAATTTGTAATATGGTTCTAGAGGAAGCCAATGGAGGAGTTCTCTAGAGCTTTGGAAGATAATAGATTTATCGGTATGAGGCTGCTGAGTTGTCTCAAACTTGTCACTGAAGGTATGATTTTTCGAAGAGCACCTATACAATGTAAGTACCGTCATCTAGTAAATAAAATTCTGCTTATTACTCCATCTCTTGCCAATGGCCGCTTTGTAAGTGTAAACGGCATTTAAGTCTGGCTTCGACTTTTCTGGTGTTTTCAGAGTCCAGTTTGTTGTAATGATCATGCCAAGACATTGGATGCTGCATTCTAAAAGGACATGCTTAGAAAGGGGTTTCCAGACGAACTACTTATTCAAAGTCAAAAGTCTAAAGAAATTTATATTGCAACTGTATTTAAGTCATGAAAAAATCTCTTCATAAAAATTCATCAGTTGTTCATTGAGCTCCAGATTTGCCTTTTTCGCAGCAGGTTTTCCATCCTAACGCCAACCTGTCTGAGACATTGTATTGTAACGCACACGAAATTATCGCGCTCGTACATCGCGAATTTCATCTGGATAGTATAGCCGTCCCCAATGTGGAGGGATCAAAGATTTTGCAATCAACTTTTTTCTTGAATGTTCGGTAAATAATGTTGGCGCATATAACGGTCAGCCAATATGTGAATTCCTCGACAACTTAGAAATTACATCGGTCCGTCAGCTTATGGGATCCTTTGCGTTCATCATAGCTGTTCGTAGACAGCAGCTACTCGTTCAATATCTTGCTCTGATATTTACTTCACTGGTATATGCGAGGAGCTAGACCTTATTGTGAGAAGTATTGTTTTTAAGATGTACAACGGCCTTTTACAGTACCCCTTATGCAAAGCTCAGACTACCGAATGTAGCTCCTTGCTTATAGATTAACATTGCTGATCTGTTTTTCGAAGATTGCTTACAGGATTTGGTATAATGTGAATATACCGTATTTAATGAACTGACTAGGACTAGAGCTGCACTGATAAAATCCCAACCAATGTGATAGCATGAAGGTTGCTTAGTTGCATAAATCGTGGAGTCATCCTGCTTTAGTACGAGAGAAAGGACAATGAGACCTAATCATCCGGCGTACTTTCCGGAAGCCATATTTTGAAGAGAAATTGATGTATGCGCCCATACAGCAGTCGCTGTCAACCATGAACTATCCCCTAAAGAGTTTGGCAGCACTGACTGCTTTGGTCACTCAATACACCTTTATCTTATTGAAATGGACAGACATTCAGATAATTATATGTTTTTAATTAGCGTTTTGTTACGCTGAAGCGATTTTTCGGCCTAGCTTCTCCTCCAATTTGTGGTTTTGCGTCTTGATTTTTTTCCAACAAATCGAGGCACTTACAGTTTATACTAAGCCGCCTCCGAACGGCTGGCGGTTTTTTCCTGAAAAGCCTTCACTTCAATTAAAAATCTACTCGTAGGGGTTGACATTCCCTGCTGCGGGACGACCACTCATAGAAAATTTAGATGGTTCCACCTGAAATACCTGACCCATTTTGGAAAATATTACCTATTTCATTAAAAAGGTTTTACATATGTCAACAATAATTATCATCGTAGGCAAAAGAACGTCCGGGTGGAAGTAGACTGGAGTGGTGTACTATGAGCTGCGAAAACTAGGCAATATCATTCACGGAAAATATTACCAACTAAAAAAAATGGTTTTGTACAACGTACTTGTGAAAATTGGCCAGTAAGGACTGAAAGGCGTTACAAGGTAATTTTCAACCTGACAACGCTTGATCTTAATACTGAAACGGGAGCCCTTACCCCACCGTATCCGCATTCTGCAGATCTTACTTCTTTCAACTATTGACATTTCGTGGAAACCAAAACTATTTGACGGGTGACCGGGTCAGAACGCATTAATTTATAAGCCCACAAATAATATTACTAGTTCGTATAAATATATGAATATAGACATTTTTCTGACTCACCAATATTCATGTAGGATTGTGTACGTTTATTAAACTCGGGCCAATCAAGATCATAACGGTCCCACTCCAAAGCATGTAAGTTAATAAAGTTGCCCTTCCAGGGAGCTTTCGGATTGCTAGTTTACAGAAAAATAAAATTGGAAAACAATGCAGAAATATAAATACACATAAAAAAACAGTCTCGTGTTTGAAAATGTGCAATCTGTGCCATAGCACAATCTACTTTAAAGATCATGAAAATTCCCTTTTAACTGGTCATTCAACAAAAAATAAATAAAATAAAAAAAATCAAATGGAATACTTACAAACTAAAATTGAAATTCATACTGGTTTTTGTGTATAAAAATAAATATAAAAATAAAATTTTATTTCCGAGAGTTTAGTTTTCTTTTCTTACTACTTTGCCTTCCAATCACTAAAGAACTGTTGTCATCGACTGCATACACATTAAGTACTGCATTTGTGAAGGCGCAAAGCATTGCTTTTCAACACATATACATGCACACAAACATGCATGTAAAGTATGCAGCAATGCAGTTCCGAACGCATTTGCAGTAAAAATTCAATTTGACTGCATTTGTTAGATACTTTCACGTACAATACATTACGCACAAGGCTGCGTTGATAGCATTTTTGCATTTATTTCTTGATATCTTAAATGCAATCTCGTCTATGCAGTTTGGCATTTCGTTAAAAATACCATCAAAGAATTACTTTTGCTTCTGCAGGATTTTAAATCCCAAGTAAATGTAAATTTGGATTTGGATTTTTATACAATAAAATTATTATTTCCAAAAAGTGTATTTTCAACAATAACTTATAAATCGTATTAAAGCAACTTTATATTTATTTACACACATACGAATTCATATATATTGTACATACGAGTATAAAGTTTAATATTTCCACTTGTGCTTCTTTCGATATTTCCCCATAAAACTAAAAATATTAGCAACACTGGGCTCACCCTGTTTTCGCAAAGTTTGTCCAGTATGTCATCACGGCTTCTGAGAGCAGCTTTTCTTGCACGCCATACGCGTTGCTGGGAAAGGGACCGGCCGGTGCAAGTGGTGCACCGAAAACGAAGGCCAACTCCTCGCCGGTTATGCTGTGTGGCAACTGCAAGTAAACAGAAGTAGAAGGAAATTGCCCAAATGAAATTAAATTATAATAAGGAAAACTATTTTTAAAATAATAGAATTTATATTTTTTGTACCATAAATGGTCAGCATTGCAGTACATTTTGTTGAAATGTTTGCTTTGCGATTATATTATATGGCACAAAGAAAATATATTGAACTTGAACTGAGGCCTATATCTTTTTGAAAAGCTCTATTGTTTAAAATGAGACATTATGCTTGCCTATTAGCAATCGGTTGCTGGATCTATCTGTAGAAGTACAGATGAGTTACTCAAACTTTAATTGAAACAACCGGAACCTCAATTGAAGCAATTTAAATGAATTAAAAAGTTAAATTTTTTGCCACTTTTTTTCATTTCAAATAAGTTTAAAATATAAATAAATAATTATTGATGCTAGTCTCAGGTACAAGATACACAAAAAACTATATACTTTAAAACAGTTTTTAGATCAAGCACGGGCTTGTGGTTAAATCGGAAAACATGATTTCGAGGAAAACGCGTTCGTAGTTTTATTCGAGAAGATGACATTTGAAAAATATTCATCGTATTGCAAAGCCCACGCACTCTACATAAGTTTTTGCGTAACAAAAAAAAATCGATTTTTCTATCCAAAATCAAATGTAAGTATAATTGATAAGTCTTATTTACTTAAGCAACCGTCATGTCAGTTTTGCTTCCTCTTGAGGGCCAAATATGTAAAGCAAAATGGTTCTGGTTAAGAGCGAGAACCGAACACATTCAAAGCCGAAGTATATTCATCTATTCAGACGAATTGATCTAGCGCATAGCTTTTTCAACTGTGTACTCAGCCCAAACTAGCACCAGTTGGCAATAGTTATTTTGCGTTGGATCTCCAGGCTAACAAATACTATTGGTGTTTATGCTGATCCCAAAATTATCTACTACCACATACCGGTAGTCATATGAGATATTTCGCCTTGTTCTCGTTCACTACCTGACCCGAGACCAAGCGAAGCGAATTCGTTATCAAGTATATCACTGTTAAAATGCTGTGCGTGAAAATTATTGCCATCAGCTTTGCCTTTTCGATATGTTCCGCGGGCATTGCAAGTGAACATAAAAACTCGTACACTAATCCAGTGGATGTTTGATTATCAAACAACAAAAAAGAAGTAGGTTATCTACCGTCATACCAAAGTCTTTATATACCTTCCAAGAACTTATCAAATACAAAATTCGGTTTCAATGATTTTTAGGGTAAATATTTATGTGTATAAAGTGGTAGTGTGAAGTGCAAATTGAACGCTCTTAGATGCTCTTTTGACGGATTTTTCACCCAATTTTTCATATCTGTACAAATCGGTTAAATGCGGGCTACGTGGCTGTTCTCCGAATTTAATTGATTTTCTGTGTAAATGTTTTTTTGTATAGAAGTAAAATCTCAATGTCACGTTCAAGTGATCTGATCTTTCGTTTTGCAACAAATAAACCTTTAAATATACAATACCAGTGCATCTGTGTATCACGTTTGCCTTATATATCCGAGCACAAGCTAAGCCTGTTCGATCGGTATAAAATTTGTCTATTCTCCTTCTAATCAAAGTTAATATATCATTTCACGTACATGAAAGGTATAAAAAGAAACAAAATATAAAAAAACACTGGACTTAATTCATCCGCTACCAAGCTGTTCTACTGGAAAATCGATACGCATTTGATTCATGTAATCGACGCGACACGGACTTATATTTGTATGTAGCTAGAGAGAGAAAAGCAATTAACGTGGAACCGAGAAGAATTGAAAGAAATAGAAGGACATGAAACAATATTGTGAAATATTTTGCCAAAGGCTTTTTGTACATTTCATGAGTAAAAGGCAATGTAACCAACTTTCCGAAGATTTATATGTTCAGTGCTCTCACTTAAAGCAGCTTTTGGAAATTCGTTTAACCCTTGCCAAGATTATTGATGCGTCTAAGGAAGTGGACTAGAACTGGATCTTCTCTTAAATATATTTTTTTGTAAAACTTTTAATTTTGAACTGGTGTTTAACAGTTTTAGTCTTACCAGTTTTGGCTTTGTAAAATTTCAGTCGAACATGAATATAGCTAGCTCACGAAAACCCACGACCGACGACTGGTTCGTGAGATACGCTCGCGGATGCGGACGCCTTGAGGTTAGCATTTCGTATTGCCATCCGAAAGACCTGGGCTCAAGTCCGTTCGGAGACGGCTAAGTATAAACGGAGTAGTGAGTGGAAGTAGGTCAACGATAGTATATTCACGTACTTTGCCTCGAAACCGGTTCGCATGTAAAGGTGCAGAGGAACTTAAACGGTATCTATTAAGAACACAACCGAGCTTTTCAAAACAACCCATTTTGCTTTTGCAGCCAGAATCATGTAATTTTCCCCATCAATATTAAGCTAAATATCATTTTACAAGTCAAATTAACTTCAACTGTCATTAAATTATTTCCCTGTTTCAAAGCAATATTACAAACACTCTAAAAATTTTAAAACTTTTTTTAAAATTTTAGATTTCCGATTAAAAAAAAGTACATAAATAAATGAATTCCAATTGGGCGTTACTGCATATTGGCAGCGACTGCGTGTTCAGAAAAAATATATTTTTTTATTTTTTTTTTTTTTTTTTTTAATGTTTGTGGTTTTGGGAAAAATCCGTTTCCGCTCGCTATTTCAAATCAATTTACTACCGGAAATATGCAAACTGCTGATTTTGTTTATTTTTCTGTTGTTGTTGTTGCGTTATATTTCAGGTCAGTAATATTTTCCGTTTTATTTTAATTAGATTTAATAGATATGCCGTGTAAAATGCATTTAGAGTTTTATTTATTTTTTTTTTTTTTTTTTTTTTAAACACACAAATGCAAACACCTGCGGCTGGTTTATTATACTATTTTACCACAGAATATTCATGACAAATTATTAGGTGAAAAGATTTAACAGCACTGCCCTGAAAATTTTTATGGAAATTGTATTGAATTTTTACGCTATTTTTGCACTTTTTATGGTATAACATTTTTTGTTGTACCTTTGTAACAGTTTTTCACCATCTAGTGTATATTATATAGTAATTTAATTTTTATGTAAGATATGTGTGTTGATAAAAACGATGTAAATATTTTGTAAAATTCTGCGGTTATTCGCGGAATTTAGTTCAAATAATTTTGTATTAAATGTTAATTTTAGAATGTTTATATTTCATTTAAGAATTCGTTAAAGGCTTTACCATTCAATTTAAACTAATAAAAAGTAAATATTTTTTTATCATTGATGTGAATACAACAGACTAATGTATATAAATATGAACATAACAATCTCCAGCCAGCCAACCTTCCGAGCAGCACTTCGAAGAACATTTCTAAGGGGTCACAGCTAAAAGAGAATAACGAAAAGAAGATAAAAGGTTTCTTTAAGCATGTCGCAGTTCTAGTACCTTACCAATCAAATCCTATCAAATTTATGTTTTTATTTAAGGTTTAAGTATTAATTCTCATATCTGAAAAACAGGTTGGAAGGCACTTATGCTACAGTGTTCGGATTTGTCGTAAACGGCCGTCATTATGATTTTCCAGGCATATACCATACCCCACATATACGACAATACAATATTTAAGTATGTATATCAAAATTCATATTTGGGTTTAATATACAAAGAAAACATTGACATTGTAATCAAAAGTTGGCTCATATGTACATACGTACATGCATATGTACATGGTTAAGTCGCACAAAGAAGAAAGTGTCAATCAAGCAAATCCATTTACTTTCCTTCTTCCTTTTCGTTTTTCAATCATCTCAACAATTGTCAAGTGAGCCAAGGAAATTTTGCTTTTTTACGACAACTATCATAAAGAATTCATTGAACTCAAACACAATGCCAGCAAAATCCATAGCAAATAAGCAAGTCTGACATTTATTTGTATAAAAAATATTTAATAATTGTTTGGCAAATATATATATATTTATATAATAATATATAATATAATTATTTTGTAGTGTTTCTATATAAATTTGTTGAATGGGATTATTTCTTGGACAAAAAGAGATAAGTCGTTTTTGCACTTTAAGTTTGATTTGTATAATTTGGACCACATCCGAACTGTATGCCTGTTTGTATACAAACTATACCAATAGTTTTTGGAGATAATTCACCGAAACCTGGAATACAAAAGCACTGCTGTATTAAAAATATCACCCATTGGAACTTTCCTGATGCTGAATAGTGATCACAAATAAAGTCCAGCTCATGTAACTACAGAAGGCACTTGATCACTCACAACGGCATACCTACGAAAGGCGCCTGATATATTTGTGGCGTAAGGTACTTAATGAAACAAATTTATAGTTTTATGTTTCTTATTTTTCAATATAATCTCCTTCAAGTGATTTCTTTTCTTCATCACTGTAATTCCTTTTTGAAAGAAAAAAGTTACTGGGAGCCAGGACTGGGCTGTAGGGCAGATGGAAAATATAAATCAATGTAAGTCCAATGGCTTTAAGGTCATCCTTCGCAACCCGAGCGATGTGCCCAGGTGCGTTGTCTTGAAGAAACAGCACTCCACGCGCAGACGTCTCCTCTTTAAGACCACCTCACGCGACTGACTCATCAACTGGGCGTAATACTGACGGTCAATTGCAGTTCCCTCTGGCAAGTACTCAATTAATAATATTCCCACGCTATGCCAGAAAACGGTTGCCATAGCCTTCGATGCCGGTTTTTCCATATTGAACCCGTTTGGTGGCCTTTCCTATTTTTGTACTTTGCAACGATTCCTATTTGTACTCGGAATCATGCTGACGATATGATTTTGACACAACTCCAAAAGATCTTTACAAGTCTCCAATCGTAGCTGCTTGACGAGCGGCATGAGCATTCGCGGCACCCAACGCGCACTGATTTTCCTCATATTTATATGTTCGTGCAAAATCTGGCCACTTCGTTATTTTATAATTTGTAATACCTCTGCTATTGCCACAATTCATATCTTCG